TCCGAACATTTTCAGTGAGAGGCACACACGAAAAAAAAATTATTCGCCAAATTGTTAGAATAACACATCATCAAGTGATCACTTGAAAAACCATGAATCAGATCACACGCGTGCCATATTTTTCCGCTGTCCCATAAAAACAACGGTCGTAGCTGTACGTGTGCAAGGAAAATCGCAACGTTTCTCAACCACGAACAAAAAAAAACAACAATCGTCGTCAAATAATATTTTCGCTGATGATCTTTTTTGTTTCGTTTGTTCGGGCGTAAATATGCAATGATATACCGCACAGACAAAACAAAGAACAATCAATTCAGATCAATTTTTGAATCGTTTAATAAAAACGTGATTGCCATTTAGTCCGCATCACAAATATAGAGCAACAAGAATGGCAATAAAACGAAATTATCTCGAGATCTATTAAAGATTCAGTGATTCAAACTAAAAACAACATACACACAGTATGGTTACATAGAGAGACCAATAATAATATCAAATACAACTAATGTATGATATTTATTTTGACTTTTATGCCGTCCGATTTCAATGAGTTTGAATACATTTAATATATTATATTAAAGTGACACCAAAAAGTAAAAGCTAACGATAAATTGGTTTCGTCAAATAGATGAACGAGTGAACTAGAGAAAGAGTGACAGAGAAATAGAGAAAGAGAGACAAATACAAATTGACGGCGAATATACAGAGAAAACCTCGCGCGTACACAGTTAAAGTCTCACAAAAATAAAAATGACGAATAAAATTATAGAGACAAATGAAAAAAAAAAAAGAAACATCTACAACGACAGAAACGAAGAAACAGAAGTACACAGAGCGAACATACGAAAAAAACACACACATACATATCACATATGTATAATAGCAAATTCAACAACAACAACAAAACTATTTGAAGTCAGATTCAAATACATTTGCGCTGAACATTTATTACGAAAACGAATTTTTCGTCATGAACTAGATACAGTTTGTTAGTCTTTCCACCTATTTATTTGTGTATCTTTTTTTGTGTGAGAGCGTGTGTTTGAGCGCGCGCGCGCTTATTCGCGGACTCATATTCGTTGTTGTCGTCGACATCGACGATGAAAGAGCGTAGACCATTGCTACATTCGCCAGTGGAATCGCTTAGATTTTCAGACGAATCATTCGAGTACAGCAAACATATATCGTATGTCGTTGTTTTGTGGACGTTTATAAGCGTTTTGGCATTCATTGCGTCAAAAAATACATATTTTACAATCATAATTGTGGATTCGCCACATAAAAATATCGACATAGACGCACGGACACTCTTTGAATCGGCCACTTTGTAGAGTGTAATGAGTCAACTGTATATGTGTGAATTGATCCGCAAACATTAGAATTGATAATTGTTTAGCAAATACATTGGATCGAACGAGCGCACTGTATCTACATAAATTCATTTTTTCTTGGAAACGCATACAACGTATTTTTTATAATTTGTCATTTTTGCATATGATTTGTTCATTATACAATTATAGCCAATGTAAGATGAGAAACAAAAAAATTCAGAGAAATTTGCGACTACATTGCCATATGCGTTTGTTTGTGCATTTTCAGATTCAAGATTGTCAAGTAAAACATGAGTTCATTTTTTTTTATTTCCTTCAAACGATTTCAAGTACCCTTTTTTCATGTTGTGGCTATACATTTTTTTTTTGCAAATGAACGAACATACATATTCCAACATATTTAAACGAAGAATGTTTATTTTTTCGTTTGCATTGAATTATCGTCGAAATAACGAAGGAAATGACATGAATCACCTCAAAACATATTTCAATGTAGAAAGTTGTACAATGTGTGTTCGCTTTTTATTCGGGTGATTAGTCAGATTTCAGTGTTGTCATTCAATTGTATTGTTATATATTGTTGTTGTTGTTGGTATTTCATTTTATTGTTATTTATACTTTTACTGCGCGCGGGACAGATTGCACAATGAACATAATTTACTTTCATGACCAAACGACTTCAACAGCAACAACGACCAAAAAGAATACCACATTTCACAAGACCATAAAACGCATGAAACCGAACCAAGCGTGTGAGGTGACACCTTTTCGGTTCCGTATTTTGCTCTTTTTTTTCATTCGTTCGTTTCTTTCTATACCCGCGACAATTTCTCAATCAACATGCGTACATAATGCATATATTTACATTTCCAATGTTGCTTCTTTTCTAATTTATATATTATTTTGATTGTGTGCGCGCGCGTGTATGTGCTTGGGACAAAGCACATCATCATCTGCTTTATTGCACAATTTCATCATATAATGTTTATTACTTTCTCTCGAGATATGCGTTTGTTTTTTTTTCTGACTCTTCTTCTCTGTCAATAGCGACGAAAAATTGGCAAATTTGCGAACAACAATGATTATTATATCATTAGATGTATGTATGTTGCTCTCTTTATATCGTTATCATGAAGAAAAAAAAAACAGAATAAAATATTTGGATCACAATTTGTGATATGAAAACGCACAAAAGAAATGATAACTAAACAACTTGATCTAAAAATTGTCCGCTGCCCTCTCGAATTGTGATATAATTATACATACAAATATCTACTCATCCAGGCGTTATTTCAATATTCACATAAAGTTAGCGGTTATACGTATACATGCTATAGCATGTATATAGATTCCATTTTGAGCGGTGTCGCGCGCGCAAGCACACAAGTCAATGATCGCAAATTTGGATTAAGGACACTTGGATGAACAACACACACAGAGAGAGAGAGAGAAGAGAGAGAGACAACGATCTATACTGAAAACTTCAAAAACTGTGCTCGCTATATGAGAATGAATTGTACGAATGCTCATAATATTGTGGAGTAAACCACGTATATTGTGATTTTCTGGTTGGGGTAAATATTGTTGGTCGCGGACACGCGCTCTCTCTCCCCCTCTCTCTCTCTCTCTCTCTCATCATTTTGATGCTGCTACTGTTTCGCATCGTTTTATTTATTTTATTTCGTTCATTCTCGATAATAGCATGTGGAAAATGTGTGTTAAGGATATATCAATGAAATCCATGTACTGTGTCCTTTGAAGCGTGTGACTTTGTTCACAATTACTGTGAACACGACTACTCCACTCATTTTTTTATTATAAAATAAACACACATTTTAGTCTGCATAATCATTTTAAGGCCACAGTAATAGCAACAGCAAAAATTATGAAAAGCGAAAGAAATCGCATTTTCCCATGCGAACTTGGTTTTTTTTTCGTCGGGAGAGTGAGGAAAAATGATGATGAAAATTTGCAAAAATTTTGCCGCATCAAATATTTGAAAAAAAAAAAAATAACGAACGAACGAACAAATATTTAAAATATGGTGTGTATTTTGTTGCTTTTGCGTGGAAGTCATTTATTCCCGATTTTTTCGCTCTCTAACATCAACAGTCGCGGTCGCGCTAACACAGTATACTTCATTTGAATGTGCTTTGAGAAATTGACGTTCATAGCGCAAAAGGAATGAGAAATAAATGAATAAATAAACGAAGAAAAAAATGAAAAAAAAAAAGAGTTAGCAAGCAGTGAGCGAGTTACATTGGCGCTGCCCTGAATAGAGTTCAAATTGATTGTGACCTAGTTACTCGGTCAACGAACTTCGGTTTGTTCGGCTTGCGGGAGCACACAGCAATTTATATACAATTTTATTAGCGCTAGCTGTGAACGCTCGTTTTCCACATACACGCTCGCTCACATATACGCACACATACCACGCGGTAGACTGAAGATATGATTTGATAATCGTATCGTTTCACTCACACTCGTTTCAACAAATATCGAATTTTGTCTCATTTGTCGAACATCACAATGAATGCAGGCATGTGTTTGTGTGTGGGTCTGTCATTCGAAGCAATCGTGTTCAACACCAATTTGTATGGTTAAAGTGTTGGGCTGAGAAAGAGAGAGTGGTTTCTTTTTTTTATTTCTATGTGCAACATTGTTGTTGTCATTTGCTTAGATTCAATGTGTATACAACCAACAGTAATATAGTTGAAGCGAATAAGCGCTTTCGAGGTGTTTATTATATTTTAAACGTATGTTGTACAAAGTAAATTTCCACTCAACTCTCAAATCATTATGCAATATACTTCTGTAATATGGCTGAAGCAGCAGGCGACTCTATTGATGAAGTAAAGAGAAGAAGAAGAAGAAGAAGAAGAAAAATAGAAGAAAAAACAACAACAACAACGCGATTTTTTTTCGCATTTGAGAGATTTAGCGAATCGTTCGATCATTCGCGCGATTTATTCGCGCTACATTGTATGATGTGTGTGCGAAGTCACATGTAGTTTTCGTATATAAACGCATGTATTGCACATTTTTAAGCGTACATAGAGTCAAGAAGAAGAAGAAGAAAAAAAATTATTATATATTTGTAGGAATCACTTTCCATTGCGCACGCTTGCTGCTACTGCTTTATACATAAATATTCGTTCGTGCTTTCGGTGTGTGTTTTTTTAGTTTCATATCTCAGTGCTATGGTTAGCTCTCTTTTTCTCACTCCTTTATATGCACTGTGATGCACATATGTGCAGCTTTTAAATACCAAAGTGTGCTTAACAGCAGAAAATCTCATGTGCTTCTATTTTCTGCTACTTGCAGAATTTATCGTTTGCACAACGATAATCAATACATGCATTTTAAGAGATTTGGTGTGTGCTTATGAAGTGTAAATGACCTTTGGCGCTGAAGGTTCGAATGTAGAACGGTTTAACATTTCTCATTTAATATCTATCCATACTAATAAGTGTTTGAATTTTTAATATTTTATTTATCGTTTCGTTGCAATTGGTAAATTATATTTATAAGACAGACGTATTATGTATTTATCTCAAAATGATTTACAGGCTTTCTTTTTCTACATCGAAAAATTCGTATGTCTCCGTTGTTATTCATTGTACAATTAACGCTTTCGATAAATTTATATAAAATAAACAAACTACTTACCGTCTCGGCTCATTCCGACTGCAATACATTTCTTCAGTCGACAATACTGACAGCGGTTACGATTAATACGCAAAATGCTGCATTGTTGATTTTTCGTGCATGGACGATATTGAATTTTTTGCTGTATGGATCGTCTGAAAAATCCCTGTTTAAGCAGAAAAGAAATGAATTATTATTACCTCAATTTTGTTTCACATTAAGTTAGAAACTATTATTTATATTTTTTTTTTTTTTGGAAAAATTGATCGATTGTTGTAGCGAATAAAATCAATTCGCAATTTAATTATCATCTAAGAGCAAAAAGTTCATTTAGATTGGGTTTTGCAAATATTTCAGCAAATATCCAGTAGTGTATTTATAATTTGAATTTTTGTTGTTGAAATAAAAGCGCGAGCCTTCTAAGTGCTGCATACCCAACCACCATATGACTGCTCCAGCCACTGAGCTACAAATGAATGTGTCGAGAGTGCAACGACCATACAACAGCCTTTTCCAACAACAGAACCACGATAAGAACATACATACATGTAATGTATAGCAAACCAGCAAAAGCATGATAACTGCACATACATTGTGTAGAGCAAAATAAAAAAAAAGAATTGTGCACGCAGATCGTTGCGTACGATGCAAACGAATGGCTTGAAAGAGCAATAGTGGTAGCGGAAGGGAGGGAGAGAGAGAGAGCACAACGGCAATGCAATGCAATTCGCAAAAAGCGCGAATACATTAACATTTCCTTATTGGGCCACTAGGGTTCTATGTACGTTGCTCACGTTGCTGTTACGTGCATGTGCAATTTTCATCTAATGCAAATGCTCACACTACAGCCGTTTACTGCCATTCTCGAATTCTGTCATTTCAAATGTATGTATGTGTATTACACACATTCGAACAGCGCACACTCATTACCGTCCATGTGCTCATGGGCTGCGTTGTTCGGTATGCATGCCATTTGCCAATTGCATGTATGTACTTTATGTATAGAATAAAGTTCGCTCACGAAAAGTTGAACGACCTCGCTGTAAGCTTTCAGACTCGGATTGGGTCAAAAGGTGAATGCAGTTCATTAGACTCTTAAAGCATTCTATCATGTGCGAGAGAACGAGCATAAGTGCATAGCTTTGGAGCGAAAAAAAGCATATTTTATATGTATCGCAATACACATTTTTAGCGCTCTTCAACATTTTATCAGAGAAATACAATACGGATTCATCTATCTATATTGATAACCGATTTTTCAATGAAATATGATAAATAACGTGCAATTTTTTTTTATTTTACTTTTCGCGTTTAAGAAGAAAAAAAAAGACAAAAATTTTTTTAAAAAAGAGAATGTCAAGAATTTTGATTTTGTTCTTATATCATAATTGTCTTTGAATCATAAATGAGATGATATTCACAAAAGCGTGATCAAACAAAATTGATCGAATGTGATGTTTAAGAGCAATTTTTAATTTTGTTTGTTTACATTTATTTTCTGGAAATTTTGTTCGCTACCACATTAGTTTTCGATTTATTAGCGAAGCAATTTGAATTAATTTTCATTCGAAAAAATTTCCAAAAGAGAGAAGATGCGTGCAGCAAATAACGTACAAACAAATACAATTAAAATGAGTTAAATGAAAAAAAGAAAACAAGAATATTCTTTGAATTGAAATATGAGTGTTGTTATTTTGGTTTTCTTGTAAATCTCTTCCCTTTTGACACTCGGAAGGGAGATCTTTCAGACATGTTTATTTTGTTTTGTATTTATCGGATTGTGTATTCCAACTTACGTCTTGTTCAGAGAGATTTTCATCGAATTTTTTACACAATTCACTGATGTTTTCTGGACAATCGCTATCACATCCAGAATCGGTGCCGCCGTTATTTTGTCCATTGTGGAAACTCTTGTGCTTCTTTGTGCCTGTACCAACATTTTCATGCAGTTCATCGTCATCGTCTCCATCGTTGCTTGCACGTCGCCATGTATTATAGCATTCGCATAGGCTGGCATTTTCGTCATTTTCCCCATTGTCATCGCTGATGTCGTCGCCAGCATCATATTCGCCATCATTGTTGTTACTTTGTCTACAACCGGAGTGTTTTTTTTTGTTTTTGTATGTTGATCAGAGTGATTTTAAGATCCCAATCCACATTTTGGAATTTAGAATCTCAATAGCATTCAGTCAATTTGTTTCCCTAAGAAACCAATGCAATCAAATCCATACGTGTGTATGTGTCGGTGTGTGTGTGTGTTTGTGAACCAAATCAAAAGGATTCAATTACAGAGTCTTTGCCATCGCTCACATGCACACATACATACACACACAATACAGTGATTGTATACAAATCTCCGGGAAGCAAATTGATTGAATGGTGTCTTCAGCGCTGATCACACAGATCAGACGGACTTGTTTTTTTTTGTGTGGAGGAACACTTACATGTTCAGATTGATTGTTGGGACGGTGACGATGGTGGGTGGTCGATGTTCCATTGTATCTTCGTCTATTTTTTGTGACTGATGCCATTCTCGTGCGATTCGCGTTTTCTTCCACGGGCATATGATTTCCGCTTCGCTGGCATTACTACTGGCACTACTATTACTATTGCAGCCGACCTCTTCATCGCTACTTTTGTCCATATCACAATGTGTACTGATAGTGTTTAGATGCTTATTACGTTTACGATGATAAGTGCTTGATTGGTTAGTCTGATTAACTAGTAGCATTGTTGTTGCTGTTGATACTGCTAATGTTGTTGCAGTTGTTGTTGTTGTTGAAAATGATGATGATAATGGTGCAGGTGGTGGTGATGATAATAATGTTGTTGTAAACGGTGGTACCGTCATTTTCGTCGTCGTCGTCGTCGTCGTCGTCGTCGTCGTCGTCGCAATTGTCGTCGATGTATTCGATGGGATCGGTGCAGATTCTAATATTTTCACTAATGCACTATGCGTCTCTTTTAATTGACTGCTCTTACCACTAGAATTCAGTTGCGCGGAAAATTCTCGAAACGGCGGCGACATATTTTGCACGGACGTCGACTTTAGACAATCCGATGATGTTGTCATCATCATTGAACACATTTGGTTATTAGTACCACAATTGAATTCATTTTGTTGTTGCTGATATATTGGTGGCAACATAATCACACAATTTTCGTTTTCTTGAAATCTTCTCTTTGCCTTAGATTATTTCTAATTTTCGTATTCAGTTCAACGATAACGTTGTACGCGACGAAAAATTATCAAATTGTAATAACTAGATTTACTGTTGATTTTGTTGTTTTTTCGCTAAAGATCTATATGTTTTGTGCTTAGGCGGTAACTTTACGAAATGCGATCACTATTAATGCGGTTAAAACACAACGACAAACCCATACAGGGAGCAATTTTCTTTTTATTTTTTTGGATTGTCCGAAAACTCTTTGATTTTTTCTTTCTTTAATTTATTTCAACTGTATTTGACTAACGGAAAAGGTGCAAAGATATATCATTTATAGCCAATAATAATCAGAAATATTTCTATCGATGGGAAAGAGTTTGAATCTTTATGCACAAAACTATAACAAATTTCTATTTTGGTTATAATCGTTAAATTGATGGATTCGCGCTTCTTTTTTCTTTTTGTTTACTTGAACACTTTGCTGGTACAGAATATTCTTGTTTTCTCTCTTCTTTTCTTTTTCTCTGTTAAATTCACTTCGTTTTGACTATGACATTTATCTTCAGTTAAACAAAAAATCAGATTCAATATTTTCATTTGATCACTAAAAAGTCTATTTTGAACTTTTGTTTTGTTTTAAATAATATATGTATGTATGTATGTATCACTCGGATGCCGTCGTTTATTTGACAAAATTTATTTGCAACTGTTTTGAAACGGTTGCTGATGTGAGAGATTTCTGTGTGGCTGAACAAATTTTGTATGTGAATGAACAAACGACGTATGATGAACCACGGAACGAAATAAACAAGACATTTATTTCATGTACGCGCTCAACCAGAGTTCATTTACGAATGTTACAAACGGCTAACTGTTTGCGTTCAATCAAGTCACAGTCAGGTCTCTCTCGCTGCCATACAAACTCGCTGTTCACACTATAAAAGCGAGCGTTACCATTGTGATCACACTCATACAACACAAGCATAACAGTGTGACGTTTTTGTAAACGCGCGAATGGCTGAAATGCTACCAGAAGGCTATGTGCATGACTGTATGTGTGCCTACATGTGCTCAGTAATATTTCGTCTCTATTCAAATGCTAGCGTGTGCTCGCTTACGCCATTGCCTTTTGGTGCTTTTGCCGTCGTTTGTCGTTCATTCTCTCGCTACATATATAAATGGCGCGAACGATATGCATTCACACACATACACACATCACCCGTACATTTGAATGTGTATGTTGCGAGTTATGTAAAAGCTTTGCAAGCGCTTCAATTGAGTAGGTGACTGTGTTAACTTTTCGCACATATACGATACATATGTGTATAGATGTTCCTAGTGGCCCTCTTTTCGCGCTTAATATTTCAGTCCAATCACTTTTGCATGAAAAACTATTTTGAAAATGGCATGCCTAACCTTAATTACATCTCGTTTGGTTTGGTGGTGGATGGCTGGCTTGCAAGTTTTCTAATCTCAGTTTGCTCAGTTCATTGCTCTTTTTTCATTTTCTCTTTTCAGGTTAACCAGTGACCAATTATATTTAATAAAATACTAATCATCTGTAAATTGTGATAAGACAAGTCCATCAAAATAATCCATTTGAAATGATAAATTTTAATTGAAATGAAAATAAACAATTCTCAAGGTATTGGAATTTTTGTCCAAAAGCACATTTTTTCATCTCTAACGATTTACGTCACAGTTTTTTTTTTTGCATGTGAAGTGCACTGCACGGGCACACATATATATAGCACATTTTTGCCACAAACAGAGAGTAGACTGCGCTCAGAAGAGAACATTCGTTCGCCAGTTCAATGAACTCAGCGAGTCAGTGTCGATTCCAAATATCTTTTCACAGTTAAACGCATACAATCACAGATTTACACTCACACTGACACACAATAGCCCCCCAAAATTCAACCAACACCGTTGTGGCAAAGACATAAGCATATATACGATACCAATGCATGTTGCTTGCTTCGCTGTGTATGGAATCTTT